TGTGTGTGTGTGTGTGTGTGTGGCCAGCTCAGCCCACCAGGGGGCGCGGCTGGCTGGCATGTGGTGCTGGAGGATCGAACCGCGGTCCCTGTGCTCTGCCAAGCCTGCTCCAAATAGGTGCTTCAGACCACTGAGCCATCTCTCCAGCCCCTAGCCTTCTTTCTTATGTGTGTGAAAGGATGTTTTTTGATCTAAAGTTCTCTTGAAGAGTTGGGTAACAGCTTGTACATTTTTATCTTTTAAGCAAACTCACACATATAAGCTTTTCAGCTTCTGAAAATTGTTCCACTGGTTATAGTTTCATGTCTGTAGACTGAATGTTCTCATTTGGTTAGAGAGAAATTGGTCATCCTTAACTGAGTAACAGGCTTTGGTTTTGGTTTGGTTTTTTACTTTTTTGGTGTTTTTGAGACAGAGTTCCACAGTGTAGCTTAGGCTGGCCTTAAAGTTACTATATAGTCCAGGCTGGTCTTTAGTTTGCAGTGATCCTCATGCCTCTGTCTCCCGAGTGCTGGGATTACAGGTTTGGGTCACTACACCAGGTTTGTTTTATTTTTTGAGATAGTCTCACCATATAGCCCAGGTTAGCCTTGAACTCTTGATTCTCCTGCATCAGCCTCCTGAGTGCAGGGATTTATAGACTCCTGCCACTGTGCCTGAGACAGGCATGTTTTCGTTTTTATTTTACATGGTCTTGCTGTGCAGTTCAGGCTGACCTTGAGTCTTTTTGTAGCCCAGGCTGGTCTCAAACTCTGAATGATCCTCCAACCTCAGCGTTGAGTGCTGTGATTATAGGGGTGCGCCACCACACCCACCTGACAAGTATGTTATTAAAGAAGACAACATAGTGGTTTTTCAGTGCCATCCTAATCTGGCCTGAGTACTTTCTGGGAATTAGCACAGTTGCACAGATGTAGTTCAGGACTCTTTCTTCTATGGCTTGCTTATTCTTATTCATTACCTGCCCTAAGAGATGTAGAGCCAGGTGTGGTGCTTCATACCTGTAATCCCATCACTTGGAAGGCTGAGACAAGACGTCTCTGAGAGCTGGAGGGTAGCCTGGGGCTGCATCACAAGCCTGGTCTCTGAGAGCTGGAGGGTAGCCTGGGGCTACATCACAAGCCTCTGTCTCCAAAAACAAAGCAAAAAAAGGAGAGGCACTGAAAAAGTTATATAAGTAAAATGTCATGAAATCTCTTGGCTGCCGTGTGCCAGGCATTTACATAGAAAGCAGATGAGATTGGTGGGAGCTGTGTTTAGCTGTTCCAGCAGCTTCTCCAAAGAAGGTAAGTGTCAGCACTTCTTAACATTTAACATTGAATAATGTAGATGAATAACTTCAGGATCCAAATTTTTGTTGCTATTGAAGTATTGGAACTTTGGGAAACATAAGTAAGAAACATTATAATTAGAGATTAAAGTTAATATTTGAACCTGTCTCTCTCCAGATGTGAGCAGACAAAATTCTATGTAACCAATTTATAGTTTCTTAGATTACAACACTGCTGTGTCATCCAGTAGGAGCGAATGTTAAACTGAGCTGCTTATGGCAACCCTCAAGTTTCTCAGGACAGTCAGAGAAACACTGTTGGAGAAATAGTGCTTTAGTTGTGATTGTGATGTGGGCATCATCTTTACTTTTTGAAGTATTTTGTAAGTAAATATATAAAACAAGAGTTAGGAAAATATTTTGAGAACAGCTTTTTTCCTCATCTTTTATTTTTATTTTTATTTTACTTATTTTTTTGGTGGTACCAGAAGATATCAAACTCAGGACTTTGCACTTGCTAGGCAGGTGCTTATTCCACTGAGCTATCTCCCTGACCCACATCTTTCTTTTAGCTCACTTAAAATAGTTAATTTTCTTCTCTTCTGTTCATTGTGATTATAGAGAACATGCTTCTTTTCATGCATTCAACACATATTAATATGTTCCAGTCATTTTATTAGGTGCATGTGAGGACAAAATAGATGAAAGCCTGTTTTCTTAGAGCTTAATGTGAAATGCAGGCTCCTCACTCAAATGGGTTACAAAGGAGATCTTTATCCAGATTTGTCTTCTGCATTTCCCTTTGGGTCTTCCTGTTGCCTTTCCCCTAACCTCCTTTTTTAAAGCTTTTGTTTTAGGTATCCATAATGGTAACAGTTCATCATAGGGAGTTTGTACACCGTATATCTTGATTTTTTCTTTTCCCATTCCCGTGCCCTCCCTTCAACCCTACTCATTTCCTCTCTTTATTTATAAAACTTTGTTTTCAGTTTTTCCTTCTCTCCTTTTCCCCTGCCCCCTCTCTTAGTCCCCTTCTGTTTTAAACATTTTCTTCGCACTTCCTGGTATCTGTTTCCAAACATTTCCTATGATCCCTGATACTTAACTATTCCCAGGCTTGCTTTTTTTTTTTTTTGTTAAAAAAAAAAAAGGTGATAGTTTGGAACATGGGGTATAACTTAGTGGTATTGAACTTGTGTAGCATGCACAAGGCCCTGGATTCATCCCTGGCACAACACACACAATTACTCTGTGATACTTGTGAGTGTTATAGTAGTAACCATATATTTGATTGTAAGACTAATGTGGAAAGTCATAAAACACAGGTGACTCTTTTCGTACAGATAGACCTAGACCCCTCTTAAGTGAGTTTATGTGGAGACTTAATTTGAAGTCCTGTTGTGTTGTACTTTTGATTTACTTGGCCAATTGACACAAATAGCTAAATGATATTTACCTCCCTTCTGTGTGGAGCATATCTTCAATCTCATTAGAATAACCAAACCTAGCAGATATAACTGTTAGAACTGTACATATATCATTTATAACTCTCAGAAGACAGATGAATGATTCTTCACTTCCTATCAGATGAATACTTTCGAGTTGATAGTGGGTAACCTGTACTTGCTCTCCATGTACCATGACATAAACATCATACATATCTGGAGTACTCAGGAAAGCAGGACCCAAGCCCAATTAGTAAATGTTACCCATTTAATGTGTTATCAACTATGTTTCTCTGGAGCATGATAGAAGTATCCCTCTTATGCATAGAGACCCACCTTTCTCAGTTGCTGTGGCTGTTTACACAGGATGGCTGAGTGTTTTTCACAGTGATTATTTTTATAATGAGAATAAAAGGATATTTCAGTCTGATTGATTGATTGATTTGGCAGAACTGGAGATTGAACTCAGGCCCTTGCACTTGCCAGGCATTCGCTTATTCTCCTGAGCCATCTTCTCAGCCCCTTTAGTCTGTATTTTTTTTCTTTTCTTTTTTTGGTGGAACCAGGGATTGAACTCAGGCCCTTGCACTTGCCAGAGAAGCGCTTATTCCACTGAGCCATCTCCCCGGCCC